GTCCAGTATGCAACAAGCCATGAATTCCGGATCCTTCATCTGTCCGTCCGTTTTCCGGCTGCGTGTAGTGATATGGTGGCTGTCTAAACCGGCTCCACCTCGCCACCCGAACAGGAAAGCAAGAAACGACTTTGACAGCATCCCAGTTCATGCATTGGCACATATCGAGAGCTCATTGGTGCTTTCTATAGTGTTCGACGAAAGTTACCTAGCAGGACTTCCGAATATTGGCACGTCCCCAGAAATCCACAAGTACATGCGGCAGACATTCCTCACACACGAACACACACGAAGATTCACAGACCACTCTAGGCCTCGGCTGCAGAGTGAATCAACATAGTCTTGGTGAGTTCGTACAGTATGTATATATGCGTCCGTTGTCTCCTAGACCTGCGATTCGGCTTCGGATACTCGTCATCCTCGTTCTTACATCCCTTCCTCTAGTGCCATGATTTCCAAGATTGTCATAGCCCTACATGTCGTCTTGACACTAGTCATACTTGCAGTAACCATTAGGGCTCTGCAGGATGAAGCGAATGAGAAGAAGGGAATAGTGCAGATTCTGGTGCGTAACTCATCACGCCGACAATGCGAGACTAACAGCAGCGAAGCTACATGAACAAGCAAAACGCTTCGTTCAGGTTCCTGACTTGGTCGGGTCCATCGCCACAGCGGTGCAAAGTGCCGCAGCCGGTGTGGTCACTGCCGCGGTCGCATCAGGCGAATCCTTGGTCGCCGCGAGTCTACCGTCTAGCATATCAGTGGGCACCAAATACGCGTGTGTGGCTTCAGAATGCGCCGCGATTCCAGGCCACGCCTTTCGCCTGATACAAGACCTGGCCGCGTTTGTCCCTTCGTCCGAGGAGATCGAACAGCTGCAGGAGCTGGTAGAGAAATGCCCCAACCTGGAGACCGTTTTGTTCGCCGGGCTCGGCTTGGTTTTGGTGTCGACTACACTGCTGCTTGCTGGTCTCAAGTTCAGGCTGCTTCGCTTCGTATCGCTGGGGCTGGACGTTGTCGCCGTCGTCCTCTTCGCGGTAGTGACGGCCTATACGGTCTCTCTCTATAAGACATCTCAGGCTGTGGCAGGCCTGCTTGGAGTTGAAGCGAGCAAAGGGGACATTTATGGAGCATCTATCGCAGATTTGTCACTATGTCTGATTATGACTGCGCTCGCTCTCGCGCAGACTGTACTGTAGAAAGAGATTGAGATGCTGGGGGGTTTCGGCGGGTGATGTACGGCTTTCTTTCCCAGCCAAAGCGAGCGCCTTTTTCATACAAAACCAGATGAGAGACGGCGGATAAGGGACGGAAGTAGCCAACTTGGATCGTACAGAGAGCCAAAACAACCAGTGAAATTTCGACTGCTCAAAGCTCATTTGGGGCAAGCTAAGTACTTCATTTAGATAAGTAGCATAATGGCTGCCTTTCCATTCATGAGTGACTTTGTCAAATGTAGTGTTGCCATCGTAGTATATAATCCCAGTGCCTCAGAAGATATCGTTTCAGCCATCGTCCCGCGGCAATTCTCTACACGTCATCTCGTCGTTCATAGCCCATTCTCAGGCGTCAGTACGCCTATACATGATCAGCATGAGCGTCCGTGGTGTTGTGTCCCTGAATATCACGATCGTCTTCGTGTCCGGACTGACGGGGCTGGCGGGCAGACCACTTCATGATATCAGGCAGCTCGTGCGCCTCGACACGGACTCTTGTCAGTCGGACGTACCGGATGATCCTCCTGTGGTGGTCAGCCAGCAGACGTTGGAGGAGACCCTTGCGCGCCTCGGAATCTCTCCCGAAAAGGTGCGATCTAAAAGTCGGTCGAGGGGCGAGCTTACGGCTCTCGTCGGCTGCGATGCCGCAGGGTCGACCATGGAAAATCCCCGCGATGGCAACCGCGTTCCCGATCCGGTGTCCCCGAAGACCACGACAGCCGGACTGCGACTTGTCATCGACCGCATCAACTCGAGCATCCAGAGACTTGATCACCAGCTCCGTGTTCTGAGCGACGCACAAGAGCGATTGCGAAAGCTGGCGTTGTTGACGACAGAGGAGGTGGATTGGGATGATCCCGTCACGCAAA